CGTGATCCTCACTGTGCCTGGTTGGAGACACTACAAGATATGGCTGCCAACCGATGTCAGTGGCGTTGTTGTTGTCAGTTTCTGTCCAGATTGCCTGAGTGAATGTCTGGAGGTGTAGGCACCTCGAAATGGTTGTGTTAAGCTAGCACTAAGTCCCTCCCCCATCCACCTTTATTCTTTTCTTTACAATAAGGCTTTCAAACAAGTCATGGCTGTACGGCAGTGAAGCATTGGTGTTGAGCACTGATGTCATGCTGTCGTTGATGATGATGATGATGATGTTCAACTGTGGCGTCCTCTCACCTCTTATCTAACCTAACGGACCGGATTTGCACGTCACATTAACGGATCCCGTCCGACCTGCGCAGTGTCGGGCGGGTGCCGTGTAACATAAAAAAATCGTTCCCTTTCGGTGCCCAACTGCAATGCCACCCGAAGGAAGCTCGAGGACCGGGATACTGCCAGGTTGCTCAAGCCCAGACAGGGTAAGTCGAGAGGCCTTCCGGTCAGTAAATTCGCGCTTGAACCACTGAGTCTTCTGGAGCCTAGTAAACTGGCTTAGCCGAGCCTAAGTTCGAATCCAATTTTATGTTCCATACGGTGATGGTGTTAGTTATCCGCACTCTAACTTCTGTCTTTCGAGAATGCCGGTTGTGTATTATTCGTCAAAACAATCATTCGTTCTCTGCTTATCCGTCTGATATGACACGCCAGACGTATTCGAATGACAGCGTGATACCTGCTTTACTCAGCATGAATGCAGCCTTTCAGTCCAGAAGCGAAGGCATTTGAGTGATTGGGGTGAAACGCTGGTGGGATGTCATGAGAATGACCACGGCATAAACCAACCATTATTCACATGATGAAAGATTGGTCTTACCCCACTTCTACAACAAGAATGACATCAGACGACCACGCACTTACCGATTCCACTAACATTGCCATTCTCGCGAACTAATTTGGCTTCTCGAGAGGCTCGCCTGGAACCCAGCTGAATCTATCGTCTTCGATGTTTCCAGGCACCAGGCCGCCTCATGTTTCAGTCGCTACGATATTCGAGATATCGACGAATTTTCAGCAACCTTATGAGTAGTGCATTACGAATTGTCATTTTCGGTTCTTGAGGGTTTGAAACGCAACAGTTTGTCTGGGTAGGTTTTTTTAATGTACAACACCGCAAACCATTACTCGTAATATTTTACCACTCCTTTTGTTTACTGACGATCTCTACAAGAATTGTTTTAGAAAGCCTAAAGTTGTGGGCAATTAATCGATATCCCTTGTTCCGAATGGCCGTACTGCAGCCAATGACAACCAGGCCGAACCCGAAGACATAAGCATATTGCCAGTCAGTTGACTAGTCTATCTCGTTACAAGCGAGCTCTGCACTGATATTCAGTCGCTTTGACTCGATTCGATTGATCAATCATGAATGTCTCGCCTTTTGATTTCCGACCGTTTTATGTATCGTGCGCGCCAGACATTATAAGAATTGCTGTTGAGCACACGTTGATTGTGTTATTTGACTACCAATGAAAGTTTTTTTTGAACTCTTCTTGGCGACAGTTTTCGGGGTACAGGCCATGACTCGCCGACGCGAAATGAAGACGGCTACCGTCAAACTGAGTACTACTCTTGATGGGGTCAGCGTGATTTCTGTGCACGTGGTCATAAACCCTCAGGAAAGTAACGCGTTGCTGGTCCTTGCGATAGACTGCTTAGCTAGAGTTAGTCGTGATGACCCCTTGTCAAAGAAGTTTCGCGATAGACGTCGGGTTACTCCCACTGTTCGCGTTTTCGACATGATTCTCCGATGCGTTTGTCCCATTGCCAGGTGCAGGTACCTTGTCCTTGGCGGTTTTCGATAAAGACGTAAGGCTGCTTGTGGTCATCCTACGCTAGGCCATTCTTTCTCACGGTTCTAGGGCAGTTGGGTACGAGCATTTCTCACCACCCACATACTTCCATTGAAGACTTCAGCTTATATCTTCTCCGTGATAGGTGCACGTGACCTTATTTGTAATGTCGAAATATTGGTAGATCGGGTGCATTAGTTGGTAACTGATCAGATGGCTGTTAATCTGTTCGCCGAGCTTGGCAATTGATTTACAAACGTTTCGTCACCATTGGGGGTGCTGTTGGGTGGGTAGTCCCTCCGTTCGTGCCGACCACGACGCAATACCGATCAAGAACGGGTCAACCGAGAGGGACAGCGATGGATAGCAATTTCAACAGTAGTGTAGCCGTAGGAGGCAAAAAATACAAACCACAACTAAACACAGATTATGATCGGACCAACCAGAATCCAAGTGCGGTGATTATCAGTGGCCAATCAGGTTAGGGCGCAAAAAGTTGCTCTTTGTTAACTATGTGGACGCAGGCACGAAGAGAGGGACTATCCACTCAACACCGCACTGAAGATGTCTCCTCAAATGTTGACGAAACGTTTGCAAATCAATCGCCGAATTCGGCGAACAGATCAACAGCCACCTGATCAGTTACCAGCACGTTACTTTATCTTGACTACTTGTTTGCAGGGGCGCCCTTAGTTTCTATCCCATGCGTGGTTTTTGCGACCAAGCGGAAACGTCTGTTTCTCATAGTGACACGTTTGTTTTTACTTTGTCACTGTTAGCTGTTTGGAGCAGTACTACAGAGCATACTGTGATCCTGTGCGATCTACAATTTCCACCGTATTGCTTTTTTATACAGTACCGAGTACTTTTTCACATGGATATCTGATGTACGTGTATGTGTTATCCGCACCCTGGTCAAGTATCCTTTCTCCTTTTTTCTCTTGTGCAGTACCAACTTTGCGTTCATTCCCGCTGCCAGCATCTCCGTTCTACCGAATATGGCACGAATTGTTAGCATACTGCCGTGAGCAGCCAGGTGAGCCATCTGAAGTGTGACCGTTTGTGAAACTGCCTCCGACGCACTTTGGCCGCCGCATGTTGAGCAGTTGCCCGATTAATCTCGACAGCTTAATTCCGGAAAACAACAATAGTTTAAGTTTGAGGACAAGGCGTTCCCTAGGGCTGACTTCGGATGGTGATCTTGAAACTTCAGAAATAGGTCCTTCTTCATCCACTTGGATGACTTCGTTGTTTGCAGTGATCGAAAAGTCGGTCGAGTTCAGCTACTGAACTCACTATCATCATTGTCACCTGTAAAACGGCGTACTTGTCGTACAGTGGTTGTAGCTGCCACAGTTTCGTTCACCGATGATTCGGGGAGGTGGGGTAGGTAGCTCCGCGTTGGAGGCGGGACCTGATAAATTAGTGCGTAAGTACAGCACTGTAGGTGGACTGTCAAGTGGGGGGGTGGGTAGGAAAGGAGCTATGGATTGAAGGCAATAGCTTGGATGCACGAGCGCCATTGAGGGCGCGACTAGGCCATGTCTGACAATGTCTCTAACGAATGGTTGTGCGAAAAGAGCTCTTCGATGAAGTCGGTTGACCGGCATACGCAACACGTGGCTGAGTCAGCGCAACCTGTGTAGTGTGATCAGTTCATCTATCGAGAGTTATTTCTCCCGAATGCCATTCGATGTACTTCAGCATTGCTGATCCGGTGTTCCCACCAGATTCGAGCAATGATCCGAAGACATCGATGGTCAAACACTGAAAGTTTTTTGACGTCCTCGGCGCGCAGCGGCCAGGTTTCTGATCCACATAGTAATATGTAGCGCACCGCAGCATTGTAAACTCGACCTTTAACGGAGAAGCTGATGTCACGCCTACGCCACAAGTGACGCAGGTTTACGAAAGCTGCTCTGGCCTTCCCAATCCGGATGGAAATTCCATCTTTTGCGAGACCACCGGGACAGATGTCCATATAAACAAATCTGTCTGCCACCTCAATAGGCTCATCCGCAAGCATGAGGCTAGGGTTCGAGCCCATCCAATCTTGCAATAGCACTTTACACTTTGCCAGTGTGAAGCGCATGCCGAACCGTGAGGCAGAATTATTTAGATTATTTAATATTGTTTGCAATTTCAAGTATACTTCTCTCTGGACCAGCAACTCACAGAGCTCAAAATTTTACATTTGCAGCCCCTAATTTAGGGTTGAACGGTCGACAGATGTGCAACGGTGACTCGCTGTCATGAGGAGATCCCTCGTTCGTCCGCTAAGACGTTCGTGCTCCTTTGCAACAGATAATCCATAGCCAATTACCTTTTTTATGACCAGTAGGCTGGGTTGGACGGAAGAGCTATAGATGGAAGTGGAACGTTACATGATGCACTCAGGGGCCCGACGTCTTACGTCGATTACTAGAGAGGGGGAGCGGTACACATCAAACCTAGCTCGGGTGACTTGACACGCACTCAAGTTGTTAGAGCGCGAATGAACTGATCGGAAGGTCCGTGATTCGAACCCGACCTTTGTCCCTCCACTTCCCCTGTCTAGGGTTGGGCAACCTGACAGTATCTCAGCCCTCGTGCTTCCTTCGAGTAGCATGGCAGATAGGCACCGGAAGGGTGTTTTACACGTGAACGATTTTTTCACTATCCCCATGATGGTCGAGACATTAATCTCGTCCATATATCGAACAACCGTTTATTTCATCGGTCAGGAAGAAGGTTCTGGTTGCAATTGAGCACGGAGTCCAAACACACCGACGACAGCTGGTCGTCACGTTTCTTCGAACTTCGGCATTGAAGTATACTCAAGTTCCGTTATCCTCCTCGTTCACCAAGACAAGCTATTTTACAACTTACCTCCGCTTCGTGTCAATACACGTTAGGAGCTTCATTCGAATCTGAGGTGACGCAATTTGCATCCCCGTATAAGCGGCATTTCCAAGACTCTGCGTTCATCCGGTTTCTCAATACTTACACATTCGACCTTTACGATGAATAGGCGTAGCGTTTCGATGAGGCGACCTTCAGAAGACAACACCAAAGCTATTCAAGAGGAAAAATCGAAAAGCGGTCTTCGAAACACCGTATTCCTACGATAAACTAACTCAGGCCCCCAAAAGTATAATACACCACAAATCACTTCGAAAAACCGCGTCGATCTTCGTAATGTACTACTCATAAGGTTGCTGAAAATCTGTCGACAGCCCACGACCGGTTTCGCCGTCTTTGGGGCTCATCAGGTAGACGCAGTCCCCGGGTTTCCGTCAACCTTATGTTCTACTTGAAACCAAATTGCACGAAATTAACGAATATACACTCATTTGCAAACTAATTTGGTTTTTCGAGAGACTCATCTCGAACCTGGGCTGATCTTCGTTTATTCCAACTGGTATTTGTTAGTTGAAAGACCATTTGTTCAACCCGATATGTCCCTCGCCTTCCTTGTTCAATCCTAATCGGATAGCTTTTTTGGTACAAACTACATCTGGTATTCATGCAACTTGACCTGTGTCCAATATCTTGTTCGAAATTCTCTGATTTTATTGTTCTGTTGGATCCGTTTTTTGGTTGTTAGGTTACGACGTTTTTATCACGGTGATGGTGATGAGTTCTTTGTGTTGAGTTCTTCAACTAACGGAAACCTACCTGTATGATGAGTTGACCGAACTGGCTAGTAAGTAGATGTCATCCTGTTTGGGGTTCTGAATGTTTCAACAAATGAATGCTCGGCAAAATGCTAATCGTTCAGCCTAGCTGCCACGCCATCCGAACGAAGCACATGGACGGAGATACTGCCAGGTTTTCCATGCCCCAAGTGGTTAGAGCGCGAATTTACTGACCGTAAGGTCCGTGGTTCGAACCCGACCTCTACCTCTCGACTATCCCTGTCTGGGCTTGGGCAACCTGGCAGCCCTTGTGCTTTTTTGGGATAGCATGGCAGCTAGGCACCGGTAGGGTGTTACAGCTGAACGTTTTTTCTATTCAACAGGTCATTTTTCGGTTCAGTCGAGCGAGTCGCACACCAAAAAGCTTTAGAAGCATTTCCCCTTTGGAGGGACTGGTGACTCAATCTGTTTGATTTCGATCCTGACGTAGTGATTTAGAAGCTATTTGGTTCGGTTTTATACCGTTTTTATCAGCACTGCTCACTTTCTGCCCTACATTTTGGTTCTTTCCTAGTGATCCCCGCTGGCCATTTCATCCTGTCGAAGGACCGAGTATGCTTTGACCCTGTATATGTACCTCCACCGTGTTTGTTGGTTGCGGGACTTGCGGGAAACGGAGGAGAATTAGCGGAGTGTGTTCGGTTCTCGTCGCTCTTCTGTGGAACCGTGTTTCGTCTCACGCTGCACTGCGTCCAACAGAGTGAAACCGCGTAAGCGAATGGTTTGTTTGCCCCACAAGTGATTTGTGACTGAAAGTAGTTTACAGCGATCATCCTCAGACAGGAGTCATCAGGGACTATTTGGTCTCGGGGGATTTCTCTTCGGGAGTGGCATACTAAATAGTGGTTGACAGAGAGTACTTGCATGAACTCTTCACTGGATTAGCATGTAGTCCTGGTTTCAAATTTCAAAGGAAGACGAGAGAGCTTAGTCGATCCCAGTCTTGGGAACTTTTAAGACAGTGGCCTGTCGTTTGGACGAACGTCGCTTACCTATGTGCATAACGTCATCTCCACATCACGACTCAGCTGTTGCTGGCATATCGGGGGAATTCAACCTACCGATCGCAGTATCTGCTGCTTCAAAAGTTGCTTCATCATCATTGTTTTACGACTGCTTTGTGAGCTCACTTGATACGGTAGAACTTTTCTTATTTGAAGGCCATGTGTGCTCGGATGGTTTTTGTGTGACCAGGATTTTTTTCATTCTCATGGATGAGTTTCTCGGATTTGCCCAAATTGGATTACTGGACCGTTTGATTTGTTGCATGCAATCACTTCAAATGGCTTGGAAAGAAAGGTATGCCCTGGGTTGGACCCGAACCATTGATGTCCCGCCATGGAATGAGTGTTTTCTCAACTGAGCTATATAGTTCACTTGCTGTCTTTGACGCATGTACGGTTGAATCACCATGCAGCTCAATAAATCAACAGTTAATATGTGCCAACGCATTAGTCCCCGACATGGGCCGGGCGTCGGTCAGGGCTTTTGTGAACCTGCACGGAAGAGATTCTATCCCACTGTTGTTTGAAATGTCCCATTCATTCTAACCCCCGACTGTCACCTTTTGTTCGCAAGAGATAGAAACAATGTAAGTTAGGCGGAACACTGTTAATAGATTGCTAAAAACGCTTTGACAGTCCGCAACCGCTTTCACCCTGCTTGGGACCCATCAGGTGGACGCAGTTCCCGAATTTCCGTCAATCTTTTGTCCTACTTTGTGTTCGAACCGATTCTCCGCGAACTCACTGCGATAAAAGTGATAAAAATGGCGTATTAGCACCCATTTTTTCTCTGTTTCCTTTCAGTGAGGATAATAAATTCACTCTGATTTGTGACCCATGGATTGACTTAGGCGATCTACACACCCTGTCAGGATCAGAAATCTCGCCCATAGCGAACTTTGTGCAGTCTTCCATCTGGCCTGTTGTCGCCTCCGTTCACCAATTGCCTCTTGACTGACCTTGTTTCTTCTTTATCGGTCCGTTATGCGGTAACTTTTTCACATGTATACAGATCTGCTTGTCCAATAGTCAGATTTTGTCGCTGACAATCGGTTTCAGTAACGAATACAGGTTTTCTGTGACTTTCAATCGTCTAGCTGCAACACTCGATGCCTAGCTACCATGCTACCCGAAGGGGCGAGATACTGCTTGGTTTCCCTCTCCTAGACAGGAGCAGCCGAGTTCGGTTCGAACCATGGACCGTGCAGTCAATACGTTCGCGCCGTAACCAATGAACTCTCTCGAGTTCTACATGTGACTATGACTGGATATGAGTCGACCATCGTTCGTGTGAATGCGATTAAACGCTGTCATAAACGCATCAGGAGGTGGACCACTGTTGACGCAGGTATCGTACCGAAAGTTTCGGTTGAGTCCGAATCTTTTATCGTTCGCTATCTCCCTAGGATCATATCGTAATCACCGTTTGAATATCGAAACGACTTTCATGTTGATACCTTGCATATTTCCGTGTGCATCGTAACAATGTGTCTCTATGGAAGTTGTCCACAGCGTGACGTCACCAGTTTTGCCCACCTGTGATGCCGTTTAGAGTTTTGGACTACTTGGAACACCACCAAGTGGTTAAAGACCATAGGTGTTGGAAGTTGGCTGACTAGTATCTTACTTTGTTTTGCTTCAGCATGTCAGTCGGTGGACATCGGCGGGTAGCCATTCAGATGACCCGCTTGTGATCAATACAAGAGAGTATCGAAATGCTGCATACTGCTTGTCTGTACTAGAGTGACTTTGAAGGTTCCATCGAGATTTCGTGCTGCTAGCAAAATTAATCAACTCTGAAAAGCAGGGAACTACTGTTATGTCTTGGTAACAGTGGTGCAGCGCGTGCTACAAATTTCTCAGACGGTTCTCAATCAGAAGGTGAAAAAAGTGGTTACTTAGACTCTGAGTGCGGCACCATCATTCATTCAACCACGTGATTCACGTGAGGCCCACTGCCTCTCGTGATGGCTTCTCGGACGGAGGGCACATGGGGCCTTTCTGAGTTGGCAGTACGGATAATCAGATATGTACAGTCAATCTTGGTTGGAAAGCGAAGAAGTGCCAAACAGCTGGTGTATGATTCCCCCGATTTTTGTTCAACTCTTAGATATTAAAGACAGCTTTGCATGTTACCAACAACTACCGATCAGGAGTAGTCTAACATTCAGGTATTTTTCCGTGGGAATCAGTACGTCCGGCAAATTTGAATAAGCACTCGAGAAGCATCGAGTTTCGATGTGATAATGTCGGCTTTACGACTTCAGTAAAACCCTCCCATACTGGAAAGCCATGCACCACCGTTCGTACGTTTTTTCGTGTTTTGGAGTCATCCACGGTGCACGTCTCGTAAATTTGGAGGGCGATTCTTTGATGGTACGACTTGCGCGAGAGACCGCTAGAGGACCAGCTTTTCGAAGCGACACGTAAACAGTTAATTTTGCCTGATGAATAAATATCGGTCAATTAAGAACGCATAAAATTAATCGATACACCGCGCGGATCACCGACACAACGGGCAACAAAAATAATCGATACACATCCGCGAATCAAGCCAACAGAGTTCGCTCAAGAGCATGAGATTTCTTGTGTTGGAGAAGCGTTCATCAGAAACCCTCATGAAGGATTCAGACACGACGTGGAAAGTGCCACAGTGGCCAGACTTGTAACACCATTCTTAAGGTTTTCTTCGAACCGTACAGATACACGGACGGTCCATCCTAAGTCGGAAAGCTTTATCTTTCTGAGACCAAGAAATCCATCAGCAAACAATGGTTTGCAGTTGGCTCAATGTAGTTGTCACTGACGCTATTCCGCCTGGCGTTTTCATCGACCCATCCTGTCTCTGTAATCGATTTGTTGATTGATTGACTGGTCTGGATGGTTGCTGGTTTCTCTATTGAGAATTTGGTGGATTTTGAAGGTGTCAGTAGGTTTCCGGCATTCTAAGATTAGTTTCATAAATTCGACCCCCCTAACAGACAGTTGTTTAGAGCTGGTTATGATCTACGCATTTACAAATTTGGCCAATGCCTCTATTGTTTATCGAAAGGACAAATTTGTGAGTAGGGGGTTAGTGGCCTCTCTCGCTTTCTTCTCTGAGTCGACTGGCTCGCGTGCCTCTTGTTTCGACGGGATTTTTCTCTGCTGCGGCCATTGTTATGCCGATCGTTCGTCTATCTCTCCGGTGCCGATATTTTATCTTGTTCGCGAGCGCCAATAAGGTCGCTTTTATTTGCGACCACTTTATCACTTGCGGTGATAAATGAACCGAGTTAACTCCGACGTAGCACACTACGAAAAAAATCGTTCAGCTGTAGCATCCTTTCGGTGCCTAACTGCCATGCCACCACAAGGAAGCACGAGGGCGGGGTACCGCCAGGGAAGTCGAGAGGCAGAGGTCGGGTTCGAACCACGGACTTTCCGGTGTCAGTAAATTCGCACTCTAACCGCTGAGCCATCTCGCACCCCCCCCCGCACACTACTCATAAGGTTGCTGAAACGTTTGGATTGTCCACTACCGGTTTTCTAATTTCTTCGCGTTCACCAGGTAGACGTAACCACCAAGTTCCAATCAACTTGGTGTTCTGTTTGTACACAATTGGCAGCACGTTCAGTTGAAGAATGTTCTAAACGAGAGATTGGGAACGCGGGTAGTTCACTGAAAGTTAACTCTTTGACTTTCAACTCGGTCATGTGTGGGACATTCTTTGAGCAGTCCATGTTCATATTTCTCACAACGTGGTCCTCTGAGGACCTGGGCAACTAAGCCACACGATTGAGCATTCATTAAGTGGTTGCCTACATCACCACATTTAAGTGTTTCTGGCGTTGAATATAATCGTTGGGCAGTTCATCTCACACTGTGTGATACATTTCATGACTAAGTTTATCACACGCGAACCATGGGACCATCCTTGTGCAACGCAATTTTGATCGCCAAGTGCATCAGTTACTTGCATCGGGGGTAACTAGTAATGCTTTGTTTGGGTTTCGCACATCCAAACATAAATCGATTGTCATGTTGAACAATGTCCGCAGTTTCTCATTTGCCAGGCAGGTGGTCCCTGGTTGAAAGCAGTAGGACGGAAATCACGAAAGAAGTTTGCGATTCATTTTTCAAAGGCGTCGGCATTTTGCTGATTTGTCTAATCGTAAATTTCGCCAGACTGGGACGGAATTAGCTGCCTTGACCCCCAGCGGGGCAAACCAGCGTTGTACCGAACAACGAGGATAATGGACATGCATGCGCAAATCGAATCGGAAAAGTTTGTACAATGGGGTGAAAAACCTCATGGGCAGATGGTTGTCCATCTGTCCATCGGTTGTCCAGCAGTGTGCAGAGGATCTGTGGTTGCGCAGTTCACGTCGCTTGATCTGAATTTGACCGGTTTTCTCCTTGACTTGGCAGAGGAGTATGAAGGAGATCACGAAACGCTTTGGTGCTGTCGGTGCTACTCGCCTTCCAGGCTGGGGACCGCGTGATCTTCACTGTGCCGGGTTGGAGACTACGAGATATGGCTGCCAACCGATGTCAGTGGCGTTCTTGTTGTCGGTTTCTATCCAGACTGCTTGAATGAGTGTCTGGAGGTGTGGGCACTTCAGAATGATTGTGGTAAGCTATCACTAAGTTCCTCCCTTTTCTCTACAATAAGGCTTTCAAATAAATCAAGTGAAGCATGGTGTTAAACACTGATGTCATGCTGTCGATGATGATGACTACTTCCCAGAAAGGGTCTGTGTAGCTAAATGAGACGCTTTTCTTTCTGGACGTCGTAAAAAGTAGTTGGAGTTCCGTTATGTCTTGATGTACGGTAGTGCAACTCTGTGTCGGTCCCTTGGCTTCCTGCTCCGCCCACTATGGTATAGCAAAAGGCACGGCAGCTCTACACAGCCCTTTATGGAGGCCAAGGAAAATTAGTACAACTGTATTTATAGGGTAGTCACGGTGTGTTCCACAAGGTCGTGCCAGAATGTCCGTGAGGGGGCGAGAACCGTCGAGTCAAGGTGCTTGACTCGGATTAGCTGGCATTCTGACCAATCAGGGCATGCCTACGTCTGGTCCGTGTCCTGCACGTGACACGTGCGTCCAAATGATTCGGTTATTAGGGACGGCTGGCCCCCGAACAAGTTCCTAGTTTTATTCTGCAAGTGAAACCAAACTACGCAGGTTCTTTTGTTCGTATAGCCCACCGTTTAGCAATGAATGATTCACTGGAAAGTAAACCCTAGTGGTTTTGGCTGTACAAATGAATGTAGCCAGTAACCCCTCAACTCCCCGCACAAAGCCTCTCGCTGAGCAATGTACGTCGATGCGCCAACCCACGACGTCTTGATCGTTTTTAGGTTGCAAGGCCTGATAGATTGGATGTCGCGTGATCGCTTTGAGTAGCCCTCATCGGACTACAACTGCTTGTAACCGACCAAGAGGGAGCGGCAACGCAGGTCACTCATGTTCCTCCATGCATCACATCTGTCACCTATAGGGCCACCTATCGTGGATTTGACAGTGGGCACTGCGGACCATAATGAATCAGCACCATTCCTGGTGTGTCCGTGGAATGGAGCGAATCCCATTATAGCTTCGTGTCTATGGTCAATTAAACTATGTGTGGTGGGGGATACGTAAACAAGTCAAAGGAAAGGGTTGGTGGCAGGTCCCTCTGACATGTAGTTACTTGACTGACGCTGGTTCGTTCTATAAAAAAAACTGAAAACTCTCGTCAACTGAACATGGTCCGATCTGTCACTTCATTCCTCGACATGGTGCCAGTTAGATGGACCATTCATTCCCTCGTGGAGGCGCGTGATAGGATCAAGTTTCTTCCCGATCACTATAGTGTCAACCTTTGTTTTAGGTCTCAGAAGAGTGCCAAACAGTTGCTGATCGACTCCACTCTTAAATTCGCACTCAAATTTGAAGCTACAGACGGACGTGCGGTTGCGGACTAACTGTGAAACGTCTGGATGAGGGGATTCTCTCTGAGATCACCGAAATTCTCGCTAGGTTTCCATTTGTTCGTCCGTCCAACGGATGAGCACTCCACAGCCTTCGTAATTCTGGCGTGGGGCCACAGGAATCGATCT